TTTCTGTGTTTAATATAAGAAGGTGTTTCTTTTTCAATATTTTGGTGCTTTTGTTCTTTGTTGCCTTTATATCAATACCTTTCCATGGTACCCTGACCCTCTATTAGTTATGAGCTATTGGTTCCTTACTACAAGTAATAATTATAAGTAATAATGAAATCAGTTACTAAATTCTGCTTCCTCCTGTCCTCTCTCTTCTCCAGCATGTGACTTGGAGCAGTTCAGTTTAACTGACAGTTAATAACTATAAGGTCATCAGCAGGAATATTCCCTCCCCAATTCTCTTTCGAGTTTGCTAATGCTGTTCACATTTGATTTAGCTTCAATTTTGAATCAGCCCCATCTCCTATATATTCTCCAATTTTCTTTCCTTCATTTCCTAGAAATCATAAGTTTGGAATATTTTAAAATATTATTTCCTGAATATACCATATGTTCAACTTTGAATCGTATTTAATGAATATATTATCTAATTTTAGTTTCATATTTAATGAAATGAAATGATTAAATAAATTTTTTAATTTAATATTTTACCTCCATCTTACTTTTCAAATTTCAGAAGATTTTGAAATTAGTTGTATAATCTAGGGGTTGATTATTTCTATCAATTGTGTCAGGAAATAGAGCTCAAAATCCGGTCAAAATAAGATTCACAGCAGATGGGAACTGAGCAGTTGTCTAGCATTATGGAAGAATGAACATGCTGGGACTGTGAAGACCTGATGGATTCTAAAAGGCGTTTACTACTCCTAAAACGTTTTCCCAGTTTCCAGATATACTTTTTAAACCCCTCTCTAGATAAAATCTTGGATAAATATCTATATAATATTACTAATAATTTCATACATGTAAGCAATAGAAAACTTTTGCAAAATTTTCTTATATCAAGAGTATTGTAATTACGTAACTTTGAACTCCATATTTGCTTAAATACCTGTATGCATGTGTATTTTATTTTAATATTTACTTTACACAGAAAAATATATTTTTTATTCATTTAACAAATATTTATTGAACTCCCCATTGATACAGTAGGCATTAACGTAAAGTCATCCAGAAGATCAAAATATGAGCAACAGAATGTAAAAATACCCTTGAAACAAGATGCGTGCAACCTCTTACTAGATTACAATTACTCCATTTCCTACAGAAATTGGGAGTTTTCCTCACCCAAGTTCCACTCTTTCTAATTCTGATAAATGTAAGCAGCATGCATATTGTCCTTAAAATTGGTAAAATAGATAACAGATGGATGAAATGAAAATGGTTTATTTGTTGGCTTCTTGAAACTATAGGAAAAGACAGGCTGCTCCATCCCTCTCATTAAGTGTATCATATTATCATTATTGTTAGTTATGAGTATGGGTTCATACTGGAACCTCGTTTTTGTGAACTTTTTTATACCATGTACTCTTCATTCTATCAGCTATGTGAGAAAAGGTATTTATAGAAACATACTTATCCTGTACTTCTTATGAATTATTCCCTGGTATAGGCACTTATATCAAAACAATGGTGGGATAAATGCAAGCCTTCTGATACTTTATAGCCTAATAGAAGAGACATGCAAACTGGCCCATTTAATGCAGAAAGGAATGTGACAAGTGAACCTTTCTAACAGAAGTTCTGATTATGAAGCAATCAAAGGGATGGGAACTAAAATTCCAGGCACCTGGCTGGGCTTAAGTATTCCTATAACATAACTTGATTTTATGGCATGGAATCCGCTCTTAAAACCCAAAATATAGGTCACCTTTACTTGGCAATTGTACATCTGTGAGTGTAATATTGTATTGGCAAGGAGAAAAATAAGATATCTCATTCTACCTTTAACATTATTGTATTTCTGGCCAACAGTTTAAAGAGGTCATGGAGCTATTGATCTAGAAATCATAATGCAAACATTACTCTGGCAATAACAAACTCATATACTAGCTTTAGAAAGTTGAGAATTTGTGTAAATACATTTAAAACACTCTTCACATTTGCAATCAACTATGAATTAGATTTGTTTGAAATATGCAATGGTTTAGATAGCAGAAAACCATACTGTTGTTACATAAGATTTGTATCACTATACATGCACTTTAAAGGGAACATCTTAAAATACTAATCAGATCATGATGTACATCACAATTTTACAAAGTCACAAACACAATTACGAACTTTGATTTTCCACTTGTACAAGGAACTGACTAGATACCATTTCATGACCCTGGTGAAGAGTTTCAACATCCATGTGCATATATGTCTAGAATCATTTTTATGCTCAGTTAAAACTATTTAAAATTATGCTAAAGAAATATCAAAAATATTTTCTGGAGGATGGAATAAAGGTGTACATAAATCGCATATTTTGAAAAATAAAACTCTGAAAAAGAAACCAATAAGAAAAGTGACAACAAAAAGAAATGCCATAAATTTGTGCTGGGGAAACTCCAATAATTACCATTAGGTAAATTAGTTTATATCAATACATTTATATTGAATCAAAGCATTTGCCTATCTATGCACTTTTGTGAGCTTAAGAGCTATCTAAAGCATTGCAATATAGGAGCCCTGTCCTATTTTGTGTATACATAGAGACTGATGAAGTCATAAAATGACAAGGTTAGAAGGGATGTTACATTCAGTTCAATCATCATTTTTGTGAGGTATTACAGGCTATTTGCCATTTGATAGATGTCACACAAATGTGTAACATTTTTCTGCACTGGATTATATCAGAGTAAATTTTAATAGTAAGATAAAAAGTAATTTGGGGAGGGTGAATATGGTACCATCAATTTAATAGTTTAGTAATAGTAGAGGAAAAACTAGCACAGAGCAAGCCTGTGATTAATTTCACTGCTTCATAACATAGTCATCAGGACATATATTTGAAACATAGATCTGAATGTTCTGAGATTTTAGAGAAGCTGTAGCTTTACTTTAGGATACAAGGTGGTGCTGTTTCATTTTACAAACAAAAACTGCTGTTACCAAAAGCTTGCAAAGCTAGAATGAGGACATCACATCTTATAAAGAGAGCAAGAATACAGAAGAAGCCAGTTCCATACCACTACATGCCAGTTATGATTTTGTTTAATGGAAAAATAGATAAGTTATACCTATATACACTGCACAATGTAAATACAGAGGGAATAACAATATTCAACCAAGGATGAAATGTTCATTTTTTTAGTAGTTTACAGGGTTCTGTGGCCTGCAGTCTTTGCAGTAGCTGCAAAAGCTCCAGCCTTAAGGGAATAAAAATATGTGCTTTATGAAAAATGAGTGAAAAATTAAGGTTTCTTTCTAGTTTTTATTGACTTTTTGTACTGACAATCAACTATTTTACTGGTTTGCTAAATGAAAATCTAGCTCATCTTTAATTTTCAAATCTACTTATCTATAACATTAATGAAGACCAAAGGGTTCACTTCCTTTTATCGACTCAAATGCTGATCACCATTGCTAACTTTATGATTTTAAATGCAACAAAAATTGAGGCTTTAAAAATATTAATATTTCTCTTTATTTATTATTACCTTGCATAGAGAATATAGATGCAAATTTGGGGTCCTCTTTCAATGTCAGATTTCCTGTGTGACATCAGTCAAATTAAGTGACTTTTCTGAGCTTGATTTTTAATCCCATTTTAAAGATACTTCATAGTAATATTTTCACATTAGTTCTTGAAGTGTTTGTAATGTTTGTAAAACAAATTGAGAGGGTATTTTTAAAAATCACAAATATGTTTGTTTACTGAAAATTAACTGTAGAGAAATTTGGTTGTTTTGTGCATGTTGGTATCAACTTGGCAGATTTTTGCAAAAATGATCGCCATCTATAACAATTTTATCAGGTTTCTTTATATTTCAATCTATCTTATTAGAGGTTTTGGCTACTAAAAAAATTAACTCAAAACCTCTGTTAAAGGCTTGTAAAACATAATTATATCCTTTACTAATTTTTTTTCACTCAGTCTGTTTACCCTGACATATCTGCTATTTAAGTATAAATATTAATGTTAATTTACTTCTCTTTTTATATTTTTGCATTTTTCTTTACTAAAAGCTGACTGATATTTTCAAATAATAGGGAAGAAAGAACTGCTCTATTCACTTACTTTGGCATAAAGTAGACTTATTTAAATAATGCTTTAAACTCAGCTTTACTGACAGAATAAATAGTAGACTCATTTATTGATGATATTACATTACATGGTTTTATTTATTCTGCGGAGTACAGAAATATCATTAACCTAACCTTGAAAAGAAGTTTATGCCAGCAGAATTTCAGTCAGTGAGGACAGAGAAGGCAAGGTAGCTCATTTAGTAGCAAAAACCCAGTAATAAAAATGTTTAATAGATAGTAGCGAACTGGGCTTAACCTGTTGAAAAGAAATCACACAATCTCTGATATTTCCTTTAAGCTTAATGTCTAGACACTATGGCATAGATATTAGAGCATCTCTTAGGTGGCATTATTGTGTAGTGATATAAATTATGCCTTTGAATCACATAGGAGCCTGGACTCAAAAAATAGCTCTGCCACTTACTTTTGTGTGGTCCTGGGCAAATAAGCCTCTTTCAGAGTCCGTTGCTTACATATCTATAAACTGGGGATAATACTTCCTTCCTTCATAGTTAGATGCGTGATTGTATGAGATAATTCATACACAGTGCTTAACAATAATACATGCTCAATAAAAATTAGCTAATTGTTACTGTTTCTGTTTTCCAGTAAACGTATCTTTTTAAAAAAAAATCTCTTCGAGTATCCTTAAAATTATCTGATTATTAAACTTTACTAATTTGTTTCCTCTCAGATAGATATGAAAGAGACAAAATGTTTAAAGGCTAATTCATTGCTTCCAAAGAGTGCAGTATGGAAAAAGTGGGAGAGGAGAACAGAATCATTCCACTGTTGGAGAAAACTGACAAACACTGTCACAGGTCAACAACAACTGTGAAATCACTTTGATAGTAAGAATACATAATGTGATGAGACCTTACCTCTGTGATCATCTTCTCCAAAACACACAAGCCCAGGAGGATCTAGATTGGAAAACAGAGACAGGCAGTTCTGTCAGCTCTTCCTGCAAATCTGCAAACATTGGTACCACCAGCCCCACCTCAAGGTTCAAAGTGATGGACTACCCAAGGTACAGCCCAGCACCCCTCATGTGCATCTAGATGAACAGCAGAAAATGTCACAGGTGTAAATTTAAAGTGTCACCCCAAATGACAAATGACTTTCTCTCGCGATGCCCAAACAAGCCACCTGGATTTGCTGTAAATCAAATCTATCATGATCAGCATTCTTATCTGAATGAAGTTAACCTCCTAAACCAGATGATCTTATTATGTTTTTACTCATTTATTTTCAAAGCAAATCAAGTGTATATGGCATCTTTAAAAAAAATCATGTAAACATTGCAAAGTTCTTTGGGGTTATTTATAATTTGAAGAGATTTCTAGAACACACATAGCCCCAGTCTAATCAGTAGACAAACATCAGACAAATCCCAATTGAGGATACTGTACCAAAGTTCTTACGAGTACTTTTCACGCCTCTCAAGAGTATTAAAAATAAGGAAAGCCTGAGGAAATGTCACAGCCAAGAGGAGCCTTAAGGAGGCATGACGCCTAATTACACAGAAGTACAAGTGTATGTATCTGAGTCACACTGATAAATTCTTTAACTTAAGAGGTAGCACTTGGCCATCATTACCACAACATCCAGATAAGCAGTCATCAATATGTGGTGATGCCATTCCATATCCCATTCACCCCATGTAGAAATATGGATTGAATAATGGATAGATTGAAGGTTCAGTACATTTAGTAAAATGGGATGCTAATACATAAACTCTATCAGTAAACATTCAATTTCATTTGAATCAAACAGAAGAAAAAGAAACAAGAAAAACCAAAGGAACTGATGCTCATCAGATAAATGTTTCTCCCTCATGTTATCTGCAAAAGATCAGGCAAAGGTTAAGGATTTATGAAACACATTATGAGGTTGAATCATTATGGTTTTTTAAAAATTCTATATGCTTCAGTTTTTCACAGTATCGATTTACTCTGGCTATAAATGATGAGGTAATTAGATGCAGGATTGAGCTTATTAAGAGACCTATAAACATTACTGCCTGAGACATCTGGGTAACTGATCCTCGTTCTTGCTCCACAGCCTTGAGTAAAGGAATGTCCTTACATCAGGCTGTGTAAACCTGGAGTGGGTGATAAATGGGATCTGAGCTGATGCTGGGTTATGGGACCTCACCTTGTTATTTCATTTTATATTATATAAATTCTAAGATTGATGTGGAGCACTTGGCCCAAAGGAGATGGTCCCTAGTGTATATCAACTAGCTTAAGTTACTACTATTTGAGGCTTAGATATTTAAGCCTCTGTACACAGGCAGGGCTAAGACAGTGACAGAAAACACCTGAAGTACCTCACACTCTGTCAGAAATTACTACTGACAAATCATTGTGAAGATTCTGAGGTGTAAATTTTTGTCATTCCATTGACTTTACAACATGTTGATTTCTCCTTTGTGCACTCCCATTTTGCTGACTTTCTTCAGTATTCCTTAGGTAAGTAAACCCTGTGTGATTGGCCTAGTGGTTTGTGTGATCACTTTGTTCCTACTTTTGACACAGGATAATGTAGAAATATGTCATAATCGTCACATCTTCATTCTCATAAAGTTGTATAAATTATGTTATTGTGTATTATTGTTACGGTTTAAGGCATTTCTTTTTCTGTTCTGTAAGCATAACAATGCTTACTTTTGATTCCACTTGGCAGAATCTTCATTGTTGATTTTATATTTTGGTTCATTTGTTGATTGCCTGGGTCTGACATTCAGGAATTTAGTTTTCACAAAAGGATCATAGGTATGGCGTCATCTGAATAATTTTATATTTGATAAAATATCTCTTGCGTTTATATTGAGTAATATCTGGTCAGTGTCTAAGGAGTCCTGGACCCCTTTTTATTTCTCTCAGAACTTTGTACACATGGATTTATTATCTTCTGGTATTGAATGCTATGAAGGGAAGCCTCAAATTAGCCTTATTTTTTTCTTCTTGTAAGTGTGTTTATTTATCTTCCAGGATGACTAAAAATCCACCCTTTATCCTGATTTTCAATAATATAATTTAGATGTGACTCATTGTTTGCTGTACTGTATCAAGCTTTTCCTGGAAAATGGCACGCCACCCAGTCTACAGATGCTGTCTTCCTTCATTTCAGACAGTTTTTTTTCTTGTACTGCATTATTAAATAATTTCTGAATTCTATTTCTTGAGTTCTTTACTTCAGGGACATAAGCTATCCTGATGTTGGATTATCTGAATTGCACAACAATTATCTGCTTTCATTGTGATTATCTCAGGACTTCTGTCTGCACCAGAAATTCCATTTCATTTTTTTCTACCCAGTTACGGTTCCTCTGTTTCTGAATCTATTAATTCCCACTGCCACCACTACTCCCCCACCCTCTGCCACCTTTTGGACACTTTACCTCCTACTTCCTTAGTGCCATAGTTTTTTTTTTAAATATAATTATCTTAATCATGTCTAATATTTTGTCTTTTTTGTTTTTGTTTGTTTTGTTTTTTGGGGGGTAGTAATTAGGTTTATTTAAATATTACTTATTTATTTAAAAACTTTTTTTATTGGAGGTACTGGAGATTGAACCTAGGACCTTGTGCATGCTAAGCATGCACTCTACCACTGAGCTATACTCTCCCTCTAATATTTTGTCTTTTTTTTTTTAAAAAAGCTGATGTCATGTTCTTACTTAGTGTTCTAATATGCCAAGCTCTCCTTTATACCAACCACAAATTTTTCATTTGATCTAGTTTGGATTTTACTAGGTTCAGTAAGAAAGAAACTCCCTAAATACAACTGCTCAAACCAGAGAGAAGTTTCTTTTCTATTCACCTAACTGTTCAGGGTGGATTTCCCAGGTTGGTGGATGGCTCTCCAAATAGGTACTCAAGGACTTGGGCTCAGAATGACTCTGGATCTTCAGCACACAGCTTTCAAGTTCATTCTAGTCATTACCACCCTTATTAGACAAAGAAAATGCAAATACACAATGCCAGAGAGTTCCCTTAAAGAAGAGAGGAACATATTCCAACAGTAGTAGTTTCAATCACAACTTCTATTCCTTGGCTTAAACTTTGTTCTAGAATAAATAGCTATTTTATATATATATTTAATTCTGCAGCATATTTGCATTTTTCATGTCATTTCATTTTCTTTGGATGATACTTAAAGAATTTGCCCAGATCTTCTCATTGTATTGATATATTTTGTTCAGTTTCTCCTCAACTTTATTCTGAGACTGTTTAATTTCCCCTCTGAACTAACTTTTGTGGATCACATATTTTATATTCTAACCATATTTCTTAACCACTGGGGTGTTTTAAGCAGGGGAGTGTGGGGAGTTAAGTTAGAATCAACACCATGATGCTCTAAATTTTACTTTTTTTCACCATCTTTTGAGATTTATGACATCAGATTGTTGCCTTTCCTTTTTTGGTAACTGCAACTATATTTATAATCATTTATTATATGTTCATTTCAATGAGGAAGGATAGTGCCTATTAGGCATATTAGTCTAATTAAGTTTTACTGAGTTTCTAAAATTATTTTTATATAGACCATGAAAGTTGATACTGTTAACTTGTTTGCCACTGTGATTATTAAGAATAGTGTCCAAACAGTAAACTATCAAATCATTGCTATCTCAATAAATGGGTGATATGTGAATGGCCAAAAATTTACAGATACAAGTCCTTATTTGGTGTTTTCTTTAAGGGAATTAAGTGCCTATGCATGAAGTCAAGTATGCCCAAATACAACATAGGGAAATTCTCTACCCATCTTCTGGCCTTCCAGTGGAAATTAACACCCTCTAGATGAATTCCATTTCCCATGTTACAAAAACAGCTGGAAATAATTTCTAGCTTTTGTGGAAATTATTTGTTCAAGAAATGTAGATAAAAACCATTAAAAGGAAATATATTCTATTTACTTTATGACTGTGTTCTTAGACTGTTAAAAGCAAACAAAGTCTTTCATTATATTAGTAAATGAATGAACCATTTCTTATTTTAAATACAATGGTTTATCAAATAAAAAAAAACTTACCTAGTCTGCTTTAAAATATTGATACTATTTGTTTCTAAATATAAGTTTACCTTTAAATATCAAACTACTAGTCCAATTTTAAAACAGTACTATTATAAGCACTCATAGGCATCAAAGTAAAAGGAGGCAACTTGTAGAAAGAGTATTCTTTGGACTGACAGCAAACATGAAACCTTTAGTTAACTTAGAAAGTGAAGCCTCCGAGAAAGAACCTACAATGAAAATCCAGCCTCAGTTATACATAGAGCAGCAACTCTGTGTGTCTGGAATACTACAAGCCCTGAACTTGGATTTATGATTGCCATGTGCAATGTATTCCTTATCCACTATTTTTTTTCTTTTTGCTCTGGTTTCATTTTTATAGACTGTCATATACTATATATGAACTCATTTTTACACTAAACCCTTTGGCAAACTCACCTCAGTATTTAAGGGATTGCCTGTCTATTTGAGAACTTGGCTAAAAACAACAAAAGGGCAAATGGTAGAAAGATGGCATAAATCTGCTTTCTAGATTAACAGCCAATGAGCAGAAAATAGACATGTACACACAAGTTAGACTGAGTATCTAAAATAAGATGTGCTTAATTATAAACTATGTAAATCTCTAATTTGCATTGAACCAAAGGCTCTGTTGAGCTTTCACGTCTGTGAGGCAAGAGGAGTACCATGTGTGTCCAGGGCTGGGGAAGGCTCACTCCATAGGACTTGGTCCTTCTTGAGCAACCTTCACGGTGACCTCACTCAAGACTCGCCACCCATCACTGATCATTCTGCTGCTCTTCTGGAGTTGACTTTTTCAAATGACATCATCTTGGCCCCAGTGGTTTGCTAAATTGGGTTAGATTCTCTATAAATTCCTTAGATTATGATCACACAT